GTAACGGATACACGATAATCATTCAAAATGTTTTGCAATATTTCGCTAAGTGCCTGCAAAGTTTGATTGTTTGCCTTCGGGTTCCATTGAGAAAATCTTTGAACTACTGAAAAATGGCTGGCCATCGGAAGTATATCTTGGGCAATGTTTCTCAGCGAAACATCAATTTGATCCGATATTTTAAATGAAATCGGAGTAAAATCATATTCAGTGTCTGCTGTAAACTGTGGCGTGATGTAGTCACCAGGTATACCAATAAAACAGTATAGCAGATCCTTGATCAATATTTGTTCTTGTTCAGCGATTGATCGAGCCGCACAGTGTGGTTGACTGATCTGTGTCGGTAGGGAATCAATTATAGTCTTGTTGAAAAATAATTGGGAATGGGTGCGCATTTTATCGGTCATATCAGTGATATTGTTGTTTTGAATGTATTCATGTTCTATTGATGTTTGTGCTTTTGTCGCTCCCACAACTTTCTTCTCACTACCCGTGATATTGTTTACTGTTACATCATTGCTTTCACATGTTGGTAATAGTTTATTTTGACCCATTTGATAAGTAAAATTATTATTTTGGATGCATTCACCTATCGCTGACTTTGGTGTTGTTTCATTTATTCCATCTACTGACGCTTCAACATTGGAAATATTCTTGCCATTGCTAATTGTTTGTTCATTTCCACTCGAGTTGGTTGGTGATGTTATGATCGGGCACGATTGACTTTGATTCCGTTGATTCATCAAAGACTCTTCATCTTCAGTTATAGTTTCGATGTGACGACCGCTTACTTTTCGCGGACATTTCAATTTTTCGTATGCCGTCAAAAATCGTTGTAAACATTCGATCGCATTTTTTTCTGTTTTAAAATCCTGTTGAATGACTCTATACACTTGTTGTGCGTATTCATCTGTTTTTCCAATATCCAATAAAATCAATTGTAATGTTTTTTTTGGAAATTTCTCCTTTTGCCGCTGAAGATCAGTGATCAATTTATTTACAGGTGTTTTAATTTGAGCAGCGTGTGCTAGTTTTATAAAAGTCGCTTTCTGGCGAGCAGTTAGTTCATCCATTTTATTCTCTAAAAATGTATAATATAATCATAAATTTTTAAGAATAATAAGAATTTTTACCGTTTTCAATGTTACTCTTTTTAATTATTTCAAATTACTAATACAACTCTTTATACAATTCTGTTCATATGTCATATTTTCTGTACATTGGCGGGATTGCAATATTGATACATTGTTACCAACTTGGAATCAAACATATGTCGTCAAATCTGACATTGAATACAATCAAAATTGACAGAAAAACTGTTGAATAGTTTCACATATCCATTAATATAATTAATGATTTTTTTAATAAAAGCAAAAAAGTATGGTCAAATTACAATAATTTATCTCATTTTGATAATAACATTTATTTTTAAGATTTAAATTTACTATTATATACAATATCAGTTTTTTTTAACCAGGACGATGATTTGAATTCAAACATTTTCTGACTATTTTCCATTATTTAATATTGAGCATTGGGATCGAATTTCAATCTACTTAGACGAAGAATAAAGTCAATTAGATGCATTTGAATATTGATTTCCTTTGGATTAGAGGTTACATAGAATCCAGGCACTCCAGCCTCCTGCATGTCAATTAAGAAATCGTCAAGAAATGAAAAAATATGTTTAATGATTGTGAGAGCACAAACCTCAAGAGTTTTTTGCTGATCGAGAACTTTGGCGTCCAAATGCAAAATAAGCTTCTGATCGGTTTCTTTCATTTTTTTCTTGTGCTTAATTTTCATCAGAGCTAAAATATGCTCTAGTTCTTCTTTATCGGTAATTTTGACCATCCAACCTTCCACCTCTTTTTCATTTTCTAGTTATAAATGTAAACATAAGAAATAATTTTAAAATAATTGAAAGAATGGATAGCAATATATTGCAATTTTTATTTTACCCAATTCGGCTTGCTTCCGCAATTCAAACAAATGCGATTCGGTCACATTTTGTATCTCAATCAAACGTTTCACAATTTCGAATATGGTTTCATTTATCAAGGCATTCGCCAAATGTGTCAGCAAATCATAGGGCATTCGCATTTGATACCGCCTGCAATTAATTAATTTATTTATTTGAGGAATTCTCATGCAAAATAATAATATATCTTACTCAGGAAGTTCGCTATGCATTGTTTTCAAATGCTCCAGCAAAAAATAGAGCTTTTGTTGTAAATATTGAGGACTTTGATGCTCATTATTGATATCAGATGATATATTTTCTGTTGATGACACATTATTTTTTTCGTGAATTTCTTGATCATTTGTTTTAATCAAACCGCTGTCTTCCATATTATTATGCATATATACAATTTTGATTCTGATTTTTGAAATATCTTTAAATATATTGGACAAAGAAAAGCTAAAAAAAATATTTAAAACACAGGAGTATGTAAGTTTTAATTTATATTGACGAAACAAAATATTTAATTAATAACACAAGAGCATATAAGTTTATTGACACATTATGTCTAAAAATGCTGTTGTATGGTTTATATTTCATCGTTTCATCTGTCATCCAGATTGTTTCCAATTTTGGTTAAACAAAGGAACTCTCTTGTGTGGACATTTGGTGCGATTTTACTGAAATAATTTACGAAAATTGCGTCAATTCAACACATCGTGCACAAAGAGTGAATAATTGATTCGTTAATATGTCGTCAATAAACGTAATGGACTTGGAATTAAAGCGAGTAAGTAATTTTGAAGCTATGAACGGCCGAAGCCTACGCATTATAATGTGAGGTTAAGTTTGTTTATGATTCAACATAGTAATTTTTTATAAAAATGTACTAAACGTCTTCAATTTTTCAGGCATTCACAGAAATGCAAGTGAACAAAATCGAAACAACAAAAAAACTGAAAATGTTTGAACTTCAAACCGAAATGCTAAAAACATCGAAAAAGAAGTACGAGATCACCGACAAAGAAGTTTCCAATCTCACACCGGATACAAGGTTCATAACATTTTCATATTTCTCTATGATCGCAGATTTTCCTCTGCCCAATTTAATATTTATTATATATTTATATGTGTAAATCTTCTTCTATAGAGTGTATTCTTCTGTTGGTCGAATGTTTGTCTTGTCTTCGCTGCCAGAAATTCATGATGAGATAATATCCAAGCAAGGCAAATGCGATGAAATATTGAAATCTCTTGATGACAAGAGAGAATTCCTTCTTAAGACCTCGAAAGAACAAGAGGAAAGTTTACGTGAATTGGTACAGCAACGGAAAGAAGCCAGATCCAATTGAAAGCAATAAATTATCATATTTTCAAAACCATCAAAACAATGTCTTGCATTTTCAATGAGCAACTTTACCCATACAAATAAATTATTATTGTTCAAAAGTTATGTATAAAGCACATCGTTGATTCTAAATGACTCATAAAAACACTTTTAACAATCGATCGCTACAATGAGTCATTTATTACGATTTTCATTACACTTTCAATTCATTAACAATGGTACTAAAACAGAAAGTCATATACCGGTTTAAAAAAAATTGACGACATCGTTACCATCTTATAATCAAATACAAAAAATGAAAAGGAAATATCTACGCTATAAAGTGTTATTCAAGATTATACAAGAAGTTATCAGAGTCAATGCACTTTCCTAAGATGGGGAGACACTTAACATATTGATGAGGAACCACTTACCAGCATTACTAAATCTATTTCCTGAATAAAAAAAATGTTGTATGGTGCTAAAAATTGCTAACTATTACTGTAAAAATTGTATGACCTTGGTATGCTAGGACTTTTTTTTATAAATCTTGAATAAGGGGAAATCATTAGAAATATATAGGATTTTTTTGCTTTAAACTCTATTCTCACACTATAGTATACATTTGAACTTTTTCTCGTTATGATATTTGTTGCAACAAATTTATAAACACATCGCGATTTCAAAAGACAATTAAGTACAACATACTTTTAAAAATGGACTTATTAGTTACAATATTTCAACAATTTCGGTTTTTTTTAGATCAACAAATTGTCTCATTTTCAAAATATTCTTAAAAATTTCCACTTTTGAATGAAAATTTCAACGGTCATTAATAAGAAATAGAATGTTCTAGACATTTCTTCATATGTTATGCTTTACATCGAGCACTAGTAACACCGTAAATTTTATGATCGCTTTGAGCTTATCTAGTATTGTTTAATTAGTTGTATGCTACTATTCAAAATCCGGAAGATGATTTGATGTGAACGCTATAAATCAATCGAACTCTTGTAATTGGTAAAAAATTTGACTTTTAAATTTCCAAAAAATATTAAACTAATTTCAATAATTGGTTCATCAAATTCCTTCATTTAAGATGTTAAAATTCCTACAATTATAATAATAATAATAAAAAACTCAAAATAAGCTATATATGTAATCCGCGAGCGAATTTATTATTTTGTGTAAAAATAATAAAAAGTGAAGAAAAAACTACACGAAATAGATGTGTTTGAGAAATGTTCAGCTTTTGTTAGTAGCTTCACATGTATCCAAAAAATACAATGGATTTCATTAACGAAAAACGAATTAATTGAATTAACACGCATAACAAAGCCATGTCTTTTATTGGTAATGGTGATGTAATTGGGTATAGAGCAATTCTCTGAATTAGCATTGAAATAAATTCACAAACAGCCTAAATGCTTGTAATAATCAAAGCAAGACAGTGTGAACATTTTGCACAGAATTAAAAAAAAAAAAAAAAAAAAAAAACAATTTTTATGTGAGTTGCACAATGTTCTTCTCTGAATTTATACAGTATATTCTGGTTGTCACTGCAGTTCATTCACCAAATGAATTTGCCAATTTTGTATTTCAATTATCCAATATATTTGCTACAGAATTTATTACATCAAGATTCCGAAATCAATTATCGCTTGCTATACTAATAGAAGAATGAATTATAATTCACCAAATTTTATTTTGGGATTTTTAGTTTTTTATTGAGTTTCGGATGCAAATAGTCATTGAACAAAAATTAGACCTACATGTTGGTCATTACAATAGATTGTGAAAAAAAGAAAGAGAACACATGTTTTGTTTAGAGCGTAGATCTATTGGAATTCAATCAAACATTTATGTGTGATTTAAAAAAATTGTCGCAATTGTATTTATCAAAATTGTCTATAATAAATGCATAATAAATATATCGACAAAAACTGTCTTTAAACGACTCGATGTAATTTCGATAAAAATGTGTTGGAAACACACATATTGTAAATATATTTCATATGTTTTGATTAAATTAGTATTATTTAGTGACAAATTTCGTTATGAATGTAGAAATAATAATTGCGATTTTATTGAAATTCAGACGATTTTCCATTTAATTCAAGTGTCACATAACAATAACAATTTCAAACAAAATTACACCATTAAATGGTGTTGAATTTCGCGAATAAAGTCTTGTGAAATGTAAACTACCACAAGAATTTGAACGATTCAGACACACGATTCAGTATATACAAATAACTAATTTTGTCATATAAATTATTACTAAAACTAAATTTCTTTTTGATAGAATTTGAAGAGACGAGTTGAAAAGCGAATCGCAATAGTACAATCGCAAAGGTACACGTATTCTATTGCAAGAAAGTGAATTTAATCGTCAAATTTGATTATATATTTTGACCCGGAAATGTTTTTTCAACTTTGTGACGTGAAAAGTTGTAATCAGTTCCGTTCAATTATTTTAATATATTACACAATGAAAATTGCACAGCATTTGACTTCTTTAACAAAGAAAAAAAACAGTAAATATATAGCCTAGAGAGTCTGTATGTTTGTGACATTTCCATTACCCTCAATCGCATCTAATTTTTGTGTGCTATACATATAAAACTCGTTCATGTAATTTATGTGTGACAATTGATCAGTCTTCGACATTATTTTCTCAGCCGTAATTTCTCCTTTAAATTCGTTTTTACTGTTGAAAAAAGCAAACCATTTTAAAACAATCTTCAAATCTAAATCACTTCCCAAATGAAGCATAAGAGCAAAGAAGAAAAGAAAAGCAATACACCGATGTTCGATTTGAATGAACCGTAGTATGTTTTGACTAAATGTGCGCGACTAGACACCGTGACCGTGTCCAGATTATGACTCAATCGCTTGCAATTTATGGTAATAAAAATTATGACGACAAAAACAATTGAGTTGATGAGAAAAAAAACACACTTCAACTATCGCGCAAGGCACTGAATGATGATGTGAATTTTAATTCCTTGCAAATGCGCACATCATGCTAAAAAATGCCTAATTTTAAAGATATTTATTTTGACATCGAATGCATTTTCTCAGGAATTTTATGTCATGAGTCAAATTATACAGAGGGTATATCTTTTCGCTGAAACTGACATAAAAGATATTTTACTTACTTTTAATTATAATAGTGATTCCCATCCAATCGAAATCGATTGATTATATGTTTCATAAAAAATAGCAGTCTTTCGCAATATTTGTCTTTTATAAAAACCAGAGTTTAATTTCATCGCGTGTGTTGAAGTGCATTACCATTTTAAAAAAATCATACTGTTAGTATGGTTACGGTTCATCGATGCATATAAGTTTTCCCATTGAATGACTACAAAATGTCAAATTGTGAAGTTAAAACCGATAAAACTGATCAATCCATAAATAGAAAAATTCAAACGGTCTCAATAAACGTCACCTGAATACAATAAGATACAACAACATATTTTCATTGCGATCGAATAGCTTTCGAATGCATTTTCATTGCGATCGAAAGAAAGGCGATTTTTTGTCTTGCCAATTTGTGACCAAGCCTTTTGAAAAATTGACAAATTCTATGGCAACAAAAACAACTTCATTTTGTCGGGAACCTTATCCATGAAGTTTTTAATATGCTACGTTTGTTTACTAGTGTCGACGTGTAGGTGAACCTTAATATGGAGCATATAAGGTAATTGTGCTGTAATGTTTTAATAACGTATATACGATTGACGACAAAAATAATATACAGTGGTTCATTTATTCGGTGCAGCTGATTTGAGCGTTTCCACCACATAATATTGAATCAACTGCATTTTAAAAGCGTCTTCCACTTGTACTCGTTTGAGACCTTTCTCTTTGCTCGGCTGTTTGACTCTTAGTTAGAAATTTATAAATGCATGGTGTACAGACATTTTGGGCTGATTTGTGTGGTGATCGTCAAACGGACAACATCTATTACGTTGCGCTCTGGGGCAACACGAAATTTAAACTATTTAAAAGTGATGTTTTACCAAACCTTACTAAACCAAAAACAAAGACTTATGGATTTTTCCAAATAATGACAAAAAATATACATTGTTTCAATTCAAACATAAAATGTGAAAATCATTGAATAAAATATAATTTTAAAGTGTTAAAATTCAATGTGAATTGCAACAAGAAAAAAAACAATTGTCAATAAGTCAAAATAGTGTTTAGCTTTTACCGTTTTGTTTTTTTTTCGGTATTTAAGTTTTACATAAAACCAGTTTGGACCCTTCAATTTATTAGTAAACGTTTAATAAGAAACAATCGTCAATATCGATCATCAACTATAATATTTTTAAGTAATTTCAATTAAAATTAAAGTGGTTGTGAACTAACAAATCTCACTTTTTTCATTATAATCACTATTGTGAAGAGGGGAACTTAATATGCATCATTGTAACGGAAAAATGCGGTTCTTTTGCCATTTATTAGTTGGTAAGTTACAATCAAATCCAGTTCTATCATAAAATTTCCATACAGAGACTTTGTGGTAAGCGCAGATCATTTGAAATTGAAAGTTGTACATTTCACTCTTTTTTTTGTTATTATAAAAGAACGTGTTTCTGCTCTATATTGTATTAGTGATATGAGTGAAAATTTAAACAAACCAAACGTTTTTCATGCCATGTTTGTCTAGGTTTTGAACTCAGTACATTTTTCATATTCTCTAATGTTTTTATTTTAATTCCCTCGTACGCAAAAATTGAACCGTTAGTTCTTCTTCTTCTTCTTCTTTAATACAGCGTAAGGGAGCATTTATACTGACTCCGAACTTCATGCAAACGTGCAAATACATTTCAAATCAAAGCGATAACTAAAAAAAACCTGTTCAATAGTAATGTTAGCCATATTGATCGTGACTGCTTAGAGTGTATGTCAAGGTTTTGTTAGTACACACATGGATTGAAATAATTCAAAAATTAATTACATTTATTTCTTTGATTTTTTAAAAATTGTTTTGATTTTATTTGTTTTTAAACGACGTGATGAATATAATATTGTATTGCATTTCCAACAATTAGTCAGGCCGGGTTGAGGCTTCTTCTAATCATCGAACAAGTATAATATTATAATTAATTAGTTATTGCGTATTGAACATGAACACATATAGTTTGGCACAAAATTAAGATGAACACTTGCACATTCAAGGAAAAAGGATGTAGAATGACCTAAAAGATATTTATATAAAAAAGAGATATTGAATAAAAAAAAATTACACGTACACTTTAAAACATACTTTCGAATGGTTTCGATCTCTGATTTCTCTCATACGATCTGCCATTTTGCAGCCAGTGTATCACTTTACTTCTTTTTTAAACGACCAATCGTTGTATCAATATATGCAATGCATTGAAATACCAATCATTTGGCATTGTTAGGCAAATTTGCTGCAGTTTTTCTTTCGATTCAAATTCTTTGTCAACAAAAAGTGAAAATCGTATCAAAATGATTAAATTTAAATGTCTTTGTCCACGAGAATGCGGATCGAAAAAAAACATAAATACATAATTTGATGTGAGTATAGTATAGGCGAAAAAGAGTCACATGAAATTCAATTGTTGTTCTGCATAAATATCAAAAGCCAGTGTTTTCGATGAAAATACACAGCACAATAGATGAAAATGAAATTGAAACTTGTTTTCTTTTTCTTATTTATTGGATTCAAGTTGTTGTCGTTATTTTTCCCACTCTATTTGTCACTATATCTCTCTTAATATCGTATCGTATTTAATTTGAAATGACCGTCACGCATAAGTTCAATTCCACGGTGTATGGATGCCGCAACTGCGTTGATGTAGATATGATACACTTTATATGCGTATCTATGGTAGTCGGTTGTCTTTTGCGTTTTCTTCGGTGAAATAAATTGGAATAAAGTGTTAATGGTCAGATATTTTTTTAACGCGAGTATAGTTCATCATTGCCTGATTTCACTCAATGTTCACTGCATCTACAATCTACATCTTTTCATTCGAATGGCATAAGAGGTGGAGGTTAATTTCATTGAATTTGACACAAAATATTATCATTTTTTTCATAGAAAATATATTTACGTTAATAGTGTACTTGTAATTTGGAACTTTCAATTCAGAAAGCGAATCCATCGGATGTATTCCAAATCGAAATACCTCAATATTTCTTTAAAATTTCACTCAATTCATGAAAACATAGTACCAAGCGTCCAATAAAATCTTTATCGATCAAATATATATAATTGTCAAGTAATCGATTTTATGTCGTTGTGAACTAAAAATAATCATAGAAAAAATGACTTTGAAATGAATCCAATATCTTTATAGAGGAAAAAACGCTCTGTTGATCTCCATTTTTTTTAAATTTAGATTTACCAGTTGAATTAATTCAATTAACATTACGCTAATGTTTTCGCAGCGGGAAATAACATAGATTTCGTCTATTTGATTTTTTTAATCTTTTTTTTTTTTGTTATTTTAGTAAAGACTTTATTGTTGCTCAAATTGAAACACTCTTATCATATCAATGTGCATTATTGCGTAACTATATATTTGTGGTATTTTGCGAAAATAAAGGTCCGGCGCTTAGTTAAAATTGAGTACACCATAATATGTTCATAAAAACTATATTATTACATAGACACATTTAAAATGTTTTTTCTATATTTTTATATTTTTTCTTTTAATTTCCTTTAAAACTATATTGAGTACATCAATTATATAATAATTAAATATTTCAAGCATGTTTCAATTTGAATTTTTCCACATTTACTGCTATTTTTTTATTTAAATATTTTTTATTTAGTTTCATTCGTAATAGAAGCAGTTTTAGCAGTGGCAAATGCTACCGCATCGTCCACTGATTCAGAAACAAGAAACACATTTGACTCGGATACCAAAAACAAACGACAAGTTAATCAATATATACGAACACCAGGAACTAGTGCAGCAACATCAGTTGGAACCGAGTCTGGACCTCAAGTATTTCCTCTGCAATTATCACATAGTATTTATCAACAACGTCTGCCTTTATATACCCGACGTCCAACCACGGTTTCGAAACCACAAGTGACCGAAGATGTTAATGAGCAGGAACCACAACAACAGCAACAGGTTAAAAAAATCGCGCATGAATTTAGCTTATTACACTAAACACAATCAATGAAATTTTAGTTTTTATATGGAAAATTGCAATTTAGACATGAGAGAAAGGGAAGTATGAAGATTTTACAATTCAGATAGGTGTTCGCATTTTCTGATTTATAGCTTTCAATTTCAAACTACTTCAAACTTAGTAACCGACAAGCTCCCTTTCGTTATACACATAGCTGTGCTATGTATGGTCACCTAAAACTATTAAATAATATTGCATATATGCATTTCTCGCAACGGAAAAGGTTAAACTAACATTACCATGGTATTACAGCGTCATTATCGTCATCAGAATCAACAGTTGTGCTCTTTAGATTTGTTCATTTTTTCAAACATACCGTATCTCATCATGAGATTCTCATGTTCATCTTCGCCGCAAATGATTTCATATTGTGAACTGAAATACACCACACGAATACAAAAATCGTGAAACACGATTCTTTACATTTATATAATAACTTTTCAATTTAAAATTCCCGTTTTGTATAGCAATAGCTCTTCACTTCTCTTTCGTATCTTCACCGATTGAGGTGAATCGATAGTGCGACCCCGATACTCATTTACCTAGATACATTTTGTAAGATGCAGTCATTCCCATTCTCACTAACAGTGGAACAGTGTTTTAAAATGCATTGGAGAAAGACACACGGAAATGAAATATCTCTAATTTCGAATAGAAAATTATTTTTCGTTGACATGAATTGCACAAGTGTATGTAAACTCGTGTGGACGGAAAATAAAGAAATGAGAAACAAAAACAAACTTAGCAATTAAATGAAACGCTTTGATTGGCCAGACATTTGCTCGAGGTTAATAACAATAATCAAACACGCCACTTTTATTGTCACATTCCATGGAAATGCTATGGAAAATTTATTCAATACATAATTTTTGATCTTAAATCCCACTTTTTTTTTCTTTCTTTTTTTTTCCTCATTCATGTTTCAAATAAATAGCAACAACAATCAATTTTGCCTTCGTACTACAATTTTGTACCAGATATTGATGCTGATAGCCCTGATTCAGTTCACATTGATAGTCGTCATTTGCCTGTTGAACCACGGACCAAAGTGCAAAATTATCAAAGTACACAGCCGCAACGTGTGCAAATTAGCTATTCTTCAGTGGCACCAAAACAAAGCACTCCAAGCCAAACATTGTTTAGCGAGGATGAGTATTTGGAATTGATTCGAAATACGGATTTGGTGAAAAGTTCTCAAGGTGTCAACTCAAAAATACCATTTGGTTATGTAACAGCTGCACCCACGACGGCCATAGATAATATGTTTGAATATTCAACAAAGTCACAGTTAAATAATAACAAAAATAACAACGACTATAGAAAATATACATCACGAACTCATCTCCCTTCGACCCCATCTTCTGTTCCACATCTGCAGCCACAGACTTCACAGCAACAATTTGTTCGACAACCGCCTCAATATATAGGCCAACCAACTCACTATACAGCAGTGACACCAGCTCAGGACTTTGAAGCAACTTATGATAAAGATACAGTTCGCGTAAATTTGAAAAAGTATCAAGAATCAGCTGGTAAAACAAAATATGATCCGGCTCGTGGACAATATCATCAAGAAGTGAGTGTAAAACCTACCAAGAAATCGGTCAATTTTAAACCATCATACCAATATGCAAGTACAGCTCAAACTCAATCATCGTCTTCGAATCGTCAGCAATCGGTTGGCCAATCAGAACCACTTCATTATCAAAGCGTTGAACAAATTATACAAACTGAATTAACTAAAGCAAACCAACAGAACGCTATTCAAACTCAGAGCCAATATTCAAATATTGTCCCACAGTCACAAGTTAACACACAACAAGCATATTTTCCTGCCGAAGTGAATCACCCATTCCAGTCGTATGTACCTCAACATGAACGATTGGTAGCTAACAACAACTACGGACAAATCGGTTCCGATCAAACAAATTTACCGACAGTTTCTCAACAAATTGACAATAAACAAAATGGGCAGTCCGAGTTTAGAATACAGTACGTGCATCATGTATCGCAAACACCAACACCGACACCAACTCCGCGATTTGTGACAGATGTTACAAGTCAACCATTGAAGTATGAACTTTTCGACCCAAGTGGCAATAGAAATGGCGCCAAAGAAGTGCCCCCAAAAATAAAATTGATACCAGCACCGTCGAATGGTGGAACTTCTCAACGCCCACAGTATGTCGATCAACCTCAGTATTATAAAAAAGTAAAAATTCAACCAGCAGCACATGTTCACTACGTCCCGGTACGTACACAGTATCATCAACCAACACAACAACCCATTCAAGTTCATTCTTCACAATCAGCTCAATCTCCGCAATCTGATATTTTAATTCCAATTCAACCTTCACGGTCGGCGCTTTTCGTTGCACAAAGTTCAGGTAAATATGACAGTTTATAAATTAATTAACATTCCTTGAATTATTTTATTTATTCAAATCTCTTCTATTTAGGGCATAGTGAATCAGTATCGCATTTGGCTACGGGAAACGTGAAAAAATTGACGCAATCTATTCCGTCCGGTCATCAAACACTTACAGATCCAAGAAAACCGCCATTGCCGATAACAAGTCCGAAAAAACCAATTTCTCAAGAAGAATTCCAAGCACTTCTCGATGCTGGTAAGGAATATATAAAATGTTTTTTTTCTTCCAAAAATATTTGTAAAAATATGTGCTAATTCTAATAATAATCATTGATTTTTATTTTTTTTATTTTCCTGACTTATTGAATGGCATCGTTTTTGATAAATCTTTGGAACATTTTCAATAATTCAGGTTATAAAGTTCAAGCCATACCAGTGCCCGTTCCCGTTTCTATTGACAAATACAAACAGTTGCAATATCAACAACAGCAACGTCAGCAACATCACACTCAACCAGTACATAGTCCAGTTGTTCCTCATCACCCTTCGAATCATCCGGCTCAGCATACACGACAATATATACGTTATCATCCAAAACAAGAATCTGAAGAAGGCATTCTAACATCATATTTGAAACCATTAATTGATTATATAGGCGGACCAAGCCAATAAATTCCACCGAAAAAAATACATAATCATTGTTTTAGTAGTTAGCTGTTATTCGTGTATCTCAATTTTAAGTTATACATTGATATTAAAGAAATTTTAACTATGCATAAAAATATTAAATGAAAAAATTAAATTATTATTATTTAAAATATTTTTTCAAGCATTTTGATGGTGAATCTGAACTTGAAAATCTCTTTTATTCATATATGTACTTGTTGAATGTAAATATAAATAAATCCATTGTTTCTTTCAAAATGATAGATTCCTTAATTTCTTTGTTTTTTTTTCACACTAATAGTTTTGATACTATTCAAATTCACCCTTTTACAGCCACCAAGCACAAGTTCACGGTCAAATTTGGGCCCGGATATGAAAATGATCACCGAACTGGGTGAAAAAGTTACATTTTTCAACGTTAAAATAGATAAAAAAAAACGTTACATTTTTGTTTGCTGAGATATTATTAGTAGTATTCAATTGAGTTCTTTAAAGAATTTCCGTTTAAAATGAGAACCGTAATACTAAACTCATTATAAAGTCATATAGATGAAAATATAATCACTAAAAATCACTTTATATTCGTCAACGACCATATCATGTAAAAAGCACCAGTTCTCGTCCGATCACTGAAGTTAAGCTGCATTGAGCATGGTTAGTACTTGAATGGGTGACCGTCTGGGAACACCATGTGTCGTTGGCACCACATCTTTTTTTATTTGTTTTTTCTCGTCATTTTTCATTCTCCTTTCAAAGAGAAACAATTGTTTTTATTTCGAAAGATAACAATCTATTAATCTTTCTTCCCTATATTTTTATTTGAACAATAACAAAAAACAGTTCACTGGTAACACAGTGTTTAATAATAATAATAATAACTGCACCGAACAGCGTTCCTTCGCCTTGGTGGTTTATTTAATATAATTTGAATAAATACAATATAATTAAATTCTTGCATCAAGCAGTTTTGAAAGAGATAAATAATAATAATTATAAATATTGTTTATTTTAACAGTTTTCAATGTATCACCGTTGTGAAGAATGAAAGAATGAAGAAAAAAGAAAAAAAAATCCTCCCCGGCGGGGAATCGAACCCCGGTCGCCCGCGTTCTGTTCAGCGTGACAGGCGGGAATACTGACCACTATACTACCGAGGACTTATTAGTATATGTACTAAATGTAAATATAAATGCACATCAATTTCATACGTTTATCTATATAAGAAGACGAATTGAAATTTGTTTCTTTTGTTGATTATTAGTTGGAAAATTTTATAAAATTATTATTTTATTTTTGAATAAAATACTCCAAAATACTCGAAAAAATTCACATATGAACCATAATAAATCACAGTGGCGGCTATAGTATTATGTTGAGTTATATAAGGCACACGATAATACTATAATAATATTTCAAATATTTCAAATGCTTCAATATGGATTAGTATTAAGTCAAGACTATTACAAGCAATGAACGCATCATACGCACATTTAACATTAGTATATTTGAAGCACGTCTCATGTTTTTATTTTGCAAATGACAAAATCGTGAGAACAATTTCGCATTCAGTTGTAATTAGTGCTATATAGAACAATGAACTTCAATAACAATAATTTAAATTTTCTATTATATGATAGCAACCATTTAAAATTACGTAATTTCTTCTCTCAAATTATTTTCACATCTACAAATTGGAATAGAATCTTGCATTTATGAAAAAAAAACTTTGTTCTTTTATTTCGGATGCCGACAAAATGTGTACTTTACAAATTTATTCATTAGTACCATAAAAATTGGATACGTCAAGTAGATCTTTATGGAACATGTACGGCCTTGCACAGCGTAACATCTTTCGTTTGATTTTTGCATTCATTACAAGTCAAGTCCAATGTTCAAGTGACTATATGTTGACCCCATATATAACTCCCCATCATAGATACAAAAACTAATTAAGCACTATCATCAGTTTTAATTAAAAGGATTGAAATATCATTTAATATATCATCAATATATATTTTTTTAAATAGCTTCCATATACACTTGAAATTGGAAAACTTTTTTTGATTTTTGAAATTTAGTTCATTTGAGAAAAACTTTAAATTGAGAGTAAACAAATATACAATGTCCTTTGGCATTGCGATGCTTACGCCAAAACAAAACATTAATGCTTCGACGTGTTTACATATATTAGCAGCGGATATGTAACCATTATTATTTATATAAAATGACGTGATCTGACTGAAATTGTTGTGACTGAAAATCAAACGGCACGATTGCAAATCGACAAGGTGATCCACACAAATGAACGCAAGGGGAATGAAATCAAAAGAATTAAAGAAAAAAAACGATGCTATTTGTTTGAAAATCGAAAGCTCTATATTCTTTTTCGTTTTTCCATTTAGAATCAGAGAATTAGACAAAGAAAAAACTGGTTGTTGACATAATTGGAAGTTATTTTTTGCGTCACATTTTTGTCTTAGAACTCTCGCTTTATCTAAAAATGTAATGCATTTTGAATGCACCTTTTTTTCTATGAGCATCGCCACAATGTTTTCGTATATAAGACAACCAACGCATGAATGAGTTTATTTTGTGCGTGAATTTTCTGATGTAAGGTTCCACCTGTCAGAACAAAAGTAGTATACGAAAAAGTAGCCGTATAAAAAGTAAAAATTTGATTTTCAAAGTAATATTAATAATAATACTAGTTTATTTTTCTCAAAAATCTGGTTTCAGATGAGGTACATTGTGGTTATTTTAGTTGCAATTTGTGCAATTTTTTGTGGTGGTACAGTCGTTCCAGTTTTTGAGTATGATGTTCCAGTTGCTTCTCAACCCATTGTTTATGCTCCACATCCACATGCTGTCCATCCATATGCTGTGCGTACACCACCTGCTGTAAGTCATACGTTTTCACAAACACAAACACACCCAGTAACATATTTAAAACCCGTGAGTTTTTTGTCCTTTTTTTATTCGTCAAGACTGAATTTTTGTGAAGATTTGAAAACACATGAATAACAGAGTTTGATTATACTATTAGGTGAACGTTTTTGGGCCACCACAATACAATTATGCACCGCTTGCAGCAACATCGAGAGTCGAACAGTCACGATTAATTGTACCCCAAATCTATCACTATCAACAATACAATAGCCCACCACCAGCTCAACAGTACAACAATCAAGCTTCGAATCGAAACATCCAAGAGCAAGGAACGGGGTATACTTACTTTAAAAATTACTATTCCATTATTGAAGAATGCTATCCATTCTTTCGATTATTTTTCCATTACATCCATTTCAAAAAATCACAATATCAAAATCTATTTAGTATGTAAGAAAGTAGTAAGGGTTTGATCACACAATTTGCAAATGAATTGAACGAAGCTGCGTTAGCAAATACTTTGATGACAAAAATTGAGATTTGGTAGTAGTAGTAGTTCTGTTCTTCCACAACAGAACGTGATTCTTAACACTACTACCAAATCTCAAATTAAAGTAATGTTGTTGCAAATGTGTGACGATTACATTGCTCTTAAACTACACAAATTTGATTTTCATTATATATTTCCATTACTTCCATTATGTTCCATTACATATTGATTAATTTCCATTATTTCCATTATATTCTTTGTGATTAACCCTAGGCAGAACCGTAATCGGAAAGTGTATGCAAATGAAATGCCGTACACGAACAATGGTGAACAAGTAAAATTACGAAGATATCAGATCCATCGTCCTGGTATCAAAAAAGGTACGTAATCTTCAAAGTACTATAGCTTTGAATCCAAACTATATTTATGAATATTTGTTTCTTCTTTTGAAAAGAATTTTATGATGTTGAAGAAAGAGTTATTGTTCGTCCTGTTGGAAGTGCTTTAATCGAATTCAATTCACCAACTAAAAAGCAAGAGATTAACGAAAATAATGAAAACGGAAGAAATTATGCTTCGAATTACAACCAATACAATTTTCAAGGATTTAGACCCAGCAATAATAACAATAATAATCAATATTCGTCAAACGGTTATGGACAACATCGGCAGTATTTTCCAACTGCGGTGCCAGACTGTGGTTATTTAGATCAACAACCTGTTTATGTATATAATGCACCTCCACAACCATTTTTGGATAATAATCCACAATATCACCCAACCACATTTGTCCCACCTACAACAACAGACAACTTCCATACGACAAAAGGCTATCCAACGACAAAAGACAATTACCCTTCGACAAATGAAGGCAGTTACCCAACGACAAAAGGCATTTACCCTACGACAGTATATTCAATACCTTCACAAACATATTTACCACCTGTGATTCCAGATCAATCGTACTCACCGAGCTCTAGTTGTAAGTTAAAATTTGATGACATTTTTCATTTACGTTTTATTGATAAAACTGGTTTTTGTTATCATATATAGCTGAATATGCTCCAACCACAGCTTATGGATCCACTTCTGCCCAATATGCACCTTCAACTGCAAGCTCTACTGTAACACAGGGCACAACACCAAAACAATCTGACATATACATAAGCTCAACTACGCCAATTTCAGTTACAATTGTTGATAAAAATGAGGATGCCAATAAGAATCTTACAAATTTACCAGGACAGGATATAATTTATGCAGAGCAATATGAAGAAAATACACCAGATCAAGTACAAAATGAACTTCCACCACGAGGTGATGTTTCTCAGTACCGAGCTGAACAACCAGACCAATTTTATTATGAATTGCCATCGAGCCGATACACAAATGAACCGAATCGCCCTCCGCAAGCATTTAATGTTTATACAAAATCCAATGGAGAACCCGACACATTTAATGGTTATGATCAATCTATTATAATAGAATCAAAAGATCGTAATTCTACTAAAAATCGTAATCAAACCTCGTTTGAAAATAATCAACAAGCTCAATTGATTGAATTATATACGGGAAATGGTGGAATATCAGAAGATCAATCCAAATCCCGATATACAAACGATAATAATCAAAATACGCAATATAAAGACGTTGGAAATGTACGTGCTCGCGTGGTATCAGTAACGCCACCACCAGCCACGGCAATACCAACAGAAACAGTGAATAAACGACGAATTGTCTTTTCGAAGCCTGTTACAACTGTTCAAGAAGTAGTTGAAGCCGATAATTCTACAAGTGGACAATACCAGCAGAGCAACAATTATGAATCTCCCGATGGAAATAATTATAGCTCAGAATTTAACGACAACAAAAATAGGGCAAACAACAACTATGATTCGACTAGAGCAAACTATGAAACCAAAACACCATCAACTAGTTCGACTGGAGTCTTTATCTCGACAACACCATCAACAGCAAGTCAACGAATAATTTATGTTCAGCCCGTATCACAAGATTTTGCTCAACAAAAAGCGGTTCCGCCAAAATCAAATTAACACTTATTTATAATAAATTTTCACTTTGTATTAAATATGAACAATTTGCGTCTATAATAAACACGTGTCTGGTTTTATGCAATTTAAGGAATTTGGAGCAAGTATATTTGAATTGATGTCTTCCAAACAAAAACATAACCATATATAGAGTCTATATCATATACTGTTCAGTTGAATTCATTGAATTGTGCATGAATTTCATTGAATATTTGAACTGGTTTGAAATACACGATCAAGGCTATTTACCTTGATTTTGGTTCTAATACAAGATATGATATGATTCACAAAATGAATCAATCAAATTGAATATACTTATTCTTAATTCTTATACTTAATTTGTATATTTTTGTAGATATAGTAAAGCTTTGGAATAATTGTTTAAAATCATTCATCATCCAAACTATGTCTTTCCAAAAAAAATCAATAGTTAGACAAAATTAAGCAGTAACATTTGAATCAAAAGATTTGAATGATCAAGGTTGATTGCTATTAGTGTCAAAAAGAGGTATCTACATCTGCGGATATGGTTGTATGATTAATATAACTTATTATTTTTGCGAAATTGTAATAAAAACTTTACATTCACAAGTACACCGTTTATATGAAGCAAATATGTATCAATTTGTACAATTAATTCAAGAGTATACATTTTTATTTGTAATTGAACATTTATAAAGTCCAATTTTTTTTATAGAAGTTGATCTCATGCGTCCTTAAGTCATTTATGTCATTAACTTTGTATTACAGGATATAATATAATCGTTAACGTCACTGTCAATACATTCATTTCAGTGAAATGATTTCAAAATTTTGCAAAATTTGAGTTAGATAATTTAATCGCCGTCATTCTTTCAAGAACATGTTCAAGTAATTCAAAAAAAAAAAAAAAATAAAATAAAAAAATATGCTCAACAATCTATTTTTTTTTCGAACCTTGAAATCTAGGGGAGAGAAACCAATGCTAGTTTTTATAGTTTATAGCTAATTTACTAGTTTATTGCTTGAATAATCTAATAATGCTAAAATTCCTTTATGAAATTGCTAGTTTTCTAGTTTTTTGTTCTGTCAAATGACAATCAAATGATTGTACTGACACAATGAAGTATTTTGACGTTTTGTTGTTCAGACATATTTTTATGTATTTTGAATAAATTTACATTTATAATAGTTAAAATTAGTTTAATTGTTCTTTTTTTAACACAAAATCGTGCATAAAATACTTCTTTCTATCAATACTCGACTTGTAAAATAGATTTAGTTACCAAATCATGGCACAATATCAAAATGGCGGATCAATTTTTCCTAATTTTTCTAGTTTTTGCTAGTTTTTTTCTAAGTTAAAAAACTAGCAAATGGTTTCCGTCCCCTAGCTTGAAATTGAAATGGATTGCAAATATGTCAAAACATCAAATGTGTTGTTTTTTTAAACATAATGTGTTCGTATCAACAAGAATACAACAGAAAATTCAATTTTCGCTGTTAAGAATATTTCTCATTTGAACTTCTCTCTCTCTCTCTCTTTCTCACTCTTTCTCTCTCTCTTAAAAATTCCCTGAGAGTAGGCAATTAATGATGCATGAAATTCTATTTATCACAGCACGGAAGTTCATCACAGTTTCAGATATTAATTTCTTTTTTTCCTTTCTAACAATGTACTATTACTATAGTATTATTATTAATACAATCATCCGACGCTTACGAATGAATTCTCCGATAGAAAGAAAAACGTAGAAAAAATGTGGCTTTATGGTGTACAATACTTTTACAACATTTTTGTGTGGAGAAGTGAAATTGACATGCGCTTGCGTACAGAATACTTTCGGGAACTTCCGTGGGTTTCTCATAATATTTGATTATCATCTCTTGTATGTCACGTGCTCAAACATCTAACATTTATTTTTACATACGGAAGAAACTTTGCTCTTGAGTGAACATACATTAGCGCACCTCGTTCTTTAGTGTTATGTAACATGGATAGAGGAAATCATCAATTATACGTTACATATGAAATACAGCAATTTTTTTGGAGATATATTATTACTATTGAATAATATTTCCATATAAGATATAGATCTTGAGACATACGCTGACCTATCGATCAGACGACAAAATTTATACAATATACCCTTTAATTTTTATCGATTTATTTGAATGCAACTAGAAATCCTCGAATAATTCTGAGCTTCAGTTTAATACACATGCATAGGATCGATTAGCCTTGTTTCTCAGAAAAGACAATCAAGGTGCAATATTCACGAGCTCACATTTTTCAACTTTTTGTGCACTTAATCGAAGTGAAAGTGAATGTTATTATTTTGTAATATTTATAGAATATGATCTAAAATAATCAAATGGTAGGAAAGGTAATCATATGAGAAAATCACAACAAAATAAAAACGATTCTGTATCGTGATCACTGATCACACATACGTTGGAAGCTTTTGAATTATTAGAAATACGGTTATAGTTCCTTGAGCGAATGGTGTATAAATAAAAAAAAGTGAAAATAATGACACGCGCTATAAAGACATGTTATACATTGTTCTCTCATTCTAACTTATTATATTTGGATGATCTTGTAAGAAATAATTGAGTATATATGATTAAAATCAGATTGTTCAGTGTATACTATGCCATACCAAGTCTCTGTTTATGTACACGATATAGGAAATAAATACGTGACAATGTTGTTCATATTTTTTGCTTCTGTCCTCATTCGTTTATATATTTCCACAAGCTACAAGCAATGTTTCGCATGACCACGAAAGGAAGAAAAGGTGGGCAAGAAGAGTAATAATTTTCATGTATATTCAGTATAAAACAAGCATAAAACGCGTACGCATCTCAAACGGACGAATTACATAAAAGAATGATACTCATTGCATGCATTTAACAGTTGCAATCAGAGCGTGAACCTAAACGAATCATCTGGATCAATCTCGTGTCGTTAATAAAGTCTTTGTGTATAAATTCAGTAAATCTATTGGTTTGGTCCAATCAAATTAAAGGTAAAAGTAGTTTATTTATACTGTCAAAAATGTAGAATGATAATGAATATTATTTTTGTTAAAAAAAAAAACACAAGTTACAGTGAAATTGCATAAACTTTGATGCGCAAAACTAGTTTCTACGTGGTTTTGTAGAGTTTTTAAATTGGTACGCATTTCCTGGTGTCGTAACGCACCAATAACTATGTCGCAATGAAGTGATCTACGGAAACGAAAGTAAAAAAATAAATAAAAATATATGCACTTGATATTTGTACGGAATAAACTATTTTAAGATTTCCTAGTATGATTTGGATGAACTTAAATATTCAATTTAAACTTTCCACTTTTTAATTTTTAGATGTCGTCGGCGTCAATAATTAAATCAATTTCACTGTTGATTGTTGTGATCGATATTTGCTTCGCTCAAATCGTTAACTCACCGCTGACGTATGTACTGAATTTTTCATTCACTTATCATATATTTTCATTTGATAATTTGTTTTATCGATAATCTTATTACTAATGAACATAGATATGTTGGTGATCCACGCCAACCGCGTGTTTTAGCTCAGGGTCCACCATTCCACGTCTCAGATACATCACAAATCGCTCATCCAGCTGTTGTTGAAAATTCGATTGCCGAATCACAATTGCCACCGGAGTTATCAAAATCCCATCGATTTTACAGCAATCCACAAGTGGCCGCTGGACTAGCCAATGAGTCATGGCTCACGGATAAAGAAGCACCGGTTTTTGAAAGAGAAGCTGACAAAATTCCGGATGTTCGTGAACAAGTATTTAAAATCTTCAAAAATGCCGGATTTCTGCAAAGACGACGGCGACGATTTGTTCAATTTCAATAGAAAAATAAATCACAATCTTGAAATTTAATATCATAAAAAGCATTAATCTAGACATTAGAAATTGTTGATACAATTTTTTTTTCAAATATTCTCCATTAAGTAAATGTATTTATTTTATGTAATGTAAATAAAAATAAAACATGTCAATTTAAAACGAATTCTTAGTTAATAAAAAAAAAAAAAAAATACTTTTGGCTGAGATGTGTGTAGTACACACTGTGTACCTGTAAAAGCTTCGATGGAGCAGCCCACGATTAATTTACAAGTTGCAAAATGTGAACGATAAAAGTTTTTCCAATTCAATTTGTGATTCAGTTAAGCTATTAGTTCAATGAATAATTCATATATAGGAGGAGTCAGCAAAATCGAAACGTTTAGAATGTTTACTGCATAACACAGCTGTGGCGTCAGCAAATTCTGTCTCATGCATTGCTCTCGAGTCAATGCCATCAAATGTGATTGCATGGATGTTTGTGATCCTGAAATGCATTTCAAGGTTGAAGTAATCACGTTTTAATTAGAAACCTTGTAACGGTAGAATATTATTCACATGTAATAGTGTGTATCGTTCCAGTTGCACTATTATGAAGCACATATTGACGGTCGTTTTCGGGGTTAGATTCGTGTGTAGTTTCAGTCATTTCCATAGGTTAGGCATGGTGGAAGATTCAGGTGTGAAAACATGGAAAAAGGGAAAGACAACCATTAGTATCAGTTGAACTGGGTATAAAATACTTTTTTTAAATTAAAAACTTTACTCACCTACGGGCACTCCCCCTCCGTACAATGTTGTACTATTGTACAACTAGACCACAAGACTTTATATAGTCTGTTCATGTCTAGCTAAGCTAACTATAATAGTTAAAATATTTTATTTTATGTAATTTTTTGAATGTATGATTAATTGATGATGTTTGTTAGTTGCCATTGTTGTTTTGGTCCGGCGGTCTTAACAATGAAACTGGCAATGGTACATCAAAGATCCGGCAAAGTCCTATGTAATTTAAAGCAAATACATTAAATAATGAATATTCTGTTTCCAATTGATTCATACCTTTGAGCATAATGCATTTTGCTGCAACAATATCTCGGTGCCAAGTAACTGTTTGTGGAACAACATCATCATCATCAACATTTAATGGCCAATTTTTGTAGGTAACTTTAACCTTTGACATTAAACGCCCAGTCCGAAGTTTTTCGTTCACAGCCTCACGATTGCCATCGATAATTTGTCGCTTAATAATTGCACGTTTTCTTCTCAAAACACGTCTGTTGACCGTTGACACAATGATATCTGGCAGTCCAGCGACTGAATCTGGCAGGCCATCAATCTTTTTCGCTCTACAATCGTAGCACACTTTAAATCGATCATCTTTTGTGTGCCTTGGAAAACGTTCCTGACAATTCGCGCATGTTTGTGATGTTCCCCATTCATCTTGCATTTCAACTTCTGAATGTCCAAGTTTCTTAATGCTCACACGAAACTTACGCGATCCCGGACATCTTTTACGCTTTTTTATTCCAAACGGTCGATCGGGTTTCATCGCCCAAGCACTAAATTGAACCAACGACGGTTTGTTGTTTGTCACACGCACGGCGATTTGATCATTTACTCTGGTCGAGCGAATGTGATGGTCTAAATCCAGTCGTGCATATTCACGCGTCGCATAAGCTGCCATTCCTTTTCGTAACATTTTAATGCGATATTCAATGTATGATTTCCATGTTGAATTACGTGGTGATGGTGGACGATATGGGTATGTTTTGAGATGTTCCTTCTCTTCGATATCAAACCATCCAGCCAACTTTTTCGCTTCTTTGTCTCGTTTTTTCTGCTTAGTTTCCCAATGAAAACGCTGGTTTGGTATTATAATGTTTTCCTTCAAAATGCAAAATGATACAAAAAACTATGAGTTTCTATTCAAAACCATTTCAAATTACATTTCAAAATATCTTACCTCAACAGCCGGCTCATCAGGTGTTTTTTGAATGTTGCGACGCACTACAGTTAACCACGATTTTTCATTCGGATCGATTCCAATGATGTATTTCTTGCCAATGAGTTTTTCCGGCCCCCGATTCGCTTGAGTTGTTTGCTGTGGTCGTTGTTGTCGCTGTGGTCGTTGTTGTCGCTGTGGTTTCTTGTACATTATGGATATTGAAACACTATCGGTCAAAATCTGATGATGGAATGATTTCGATTTGCCCAATTTATTTATTTCACCGACATCGAACAACATATTCCATAGACCTGATCGATCAGTTTGGGTGTAGTACTTTAAATTTCTCTTATTCATCCGGTTGGTCAGCGTATTGAGAAAAGAAGGCACCAAATCAAGCTCGTTTACAATTTTATAATACAAGTCCTTAATGTCCAATCGCACGTTTTTCAAATGGTAGTCGCATAATGGTATAAGAGCAAAACTGCTTATTTTTGGTGGTCGATTGATTGTTGGCTCTTGAAAGTTCGGATTGTTACGAAACATTTCATGAATGGTATGCCATTGTTCGGCATGACTGTGATACACTTCTATTTGCCGTTGCATTTGACCGAACAACCACAGTGATTCAAACCAACGATATTTTGCGAAAAATTTCATACTCACTGTTCCCGACCATCCAATTTCAGTCAAATCTCTCATTAAAATATTGAATTTTTCAACGCGTTGTGGATCCACATTATTACCATTTGTTAAATTCTTAAATCGATATGAAAACTCTTTGGCATTTCTGATGTCGATGTTATCAAATCTTGAGCCATTGTGGAATCGATTGCGATACCAACAACGCATTCGAAAAAAATTCTCAAGTCGTTTTTCACACCATGTGTTGGTATTGGTTTGAATGTTTGTGATATATTGTTTATAAAAATATCTCAAACCATTTCCCAACTTTTCATCATCTGGCCATCGGAACTGTTCTTCACTGTTTCTTTCTACCATGAAACGAAACTCGGGCAATATCCGATATTGACTTCTGATATTGTTAACGTGTTGGTTTAATACCGCTCTGAAACAATCGGCAATGAACAGGCTTGGATGTGGTTTCAAAAAAAATGCACGATCGTCATTATCAAGTGCTTCATTCAAAATAAAAAGAATAGAAAGTGATGCCAATGCTGCCACTTCTGTCATTTGAACACTGCGCTCGAATAGCATTTTGGTCACAACTTCTCCAACTCTTTCAATCCGTTCATGTTGTTGTCGCAGGATTGTTTGAAGTCCACATTTTATTACAACGTATTTGCTTTCTTCTGGTTGATTATCATCGAGCTCGTCGTCATCCATGTCTTTTTCTGTTCATTCTCAAAAAACTGATCAAATTATTCGAAAATAAAAAATAGACACAAATTTAGAAAAAAAATGCAACAAAAAAAGCATAGATTACGAATAAAATGAGATCACAATTTAAATGACAATCACTTATATCACAATTCAAATTAATCACTTCTTACCTCAACGATGTCACTCTGTATTCTGATTCAAATGATGAAATGTTTTCCAATATTCCGCAGATGAAAATTTTGTTGGAATATTCACCGTCAATTTTATGAATGCTTTCTTATTTTGAAATAACAACAGAGACAATCTCAAAACCAACAGTGAATTTATCCGTTTAACATCGAACAAACAAAATCATTGGAACAAATGTTAGCCAAAAATGACGACAAACAAAATGTTTCATACTCTAATATAAACACTCACACATAATTCTCAAGAATTCCTTTTACAAGCAAAGCACAATTTGTTACAAACAAAAAATGAGAACACACTCATATCACAATTCAAATCAATAACTTCTTATACTATATAACGCTGTGTCCTGATTAAAACGATGAAAATGTTTTTTTTTATTTTGAAATGAAAACAAAGACTGTCACAAAACGGACTGTGAATCTTTCCATTTGACATCGAGTGACTTCTACAGTTACGTTCCAAACACACCAAACCGTTGCTAAAATGACGATAAACAAAAAATGAATCTCATGTACAAGAATTCCATTTATTATTCACTGAATTTTGTTTTTTTTTTTTCAACACAATGGCAACTTAACCATAATTACTTACCTTATTCTTAACAATAACTTCAAAATATTTTGATGCGAAAAAATCCCTATTTAGTTCAAAGAAATTAATTGATACGATGCAATGTTTACGAAGCACATTTTGAATGTAATCAGAAAAATCGGCTTCGATATGATACACACCAATACACACAGCTACCAACTGTCAAATGTCGTACACATTCAAACATGTTTCGAATTCGAAATTCGAATTTGAATTATGAAATAAAAAAAATAAAAAAAATAAAAAAATGTTTCTGAAACTAAAATCAAATCAAACAAATCTAAAAAAAGGTACATTTATAAATGTATTTCACAGTCACTTGAAATTCCTACGCAATGTTTTTTTTATTCATGCACAATCGAAACACACACAGAGAGAAGAGAGTAAGATTTGTATTTTCATCCTCTTTTTTTCCGGTTTGTTTTTCAAATTTCATTTGCTTAAAATCAATCGTATGAATACGATATTATGAACTCAACGAGTTTATGTTATTTACATTTGTTTACATTGTATTGCCGCTACAGTTTCTTAGAATATAATAACAAAAAGAGAAACAATCGAAACACACAACACGAAAAAGCCGAAAAAGTGGTTTACATTATGCCTATATTCTACCTTCCATTTGACACGAAAATTGCCACAAAAATGGGTTAAAGCGTTACATTGAGCGTTAGTTCCAGTTGCACTAGCTCTGTTTGAATTTACATTTAATTCCGATAAAAGTGTAGAAAATACAATAAATTCACTTATGCAATGTCATTTGGTGTGTGATCTTTTGAAAGTATTTGTGTGGGATTGCTCTATGTAAGGGAGATAGCGGTTTCTTTGAATCATTTAGTGGCCGGACGCATACATTCATTATTTTCCTTAATTTCTTTAGTTATTGTGATTTGTATATCATTGTAATTTATCATCAATAAACTACATATGTATCGAACAATCAGGTTAAGGTTACTTAGATGAAATTCATTACTTATATTTAATTGTATTTTTCTCTGTTTAAAGTGAAATGATTCTGCTTTTCATATGATATTTATGACAACTTAAATGAGCTAATTTTGCACTATTTTCAAAATGTTATTTGTCCAGTGGATGTTGTAAATATATTTATCCTATATAATTTTGTAAATTTCTGGGCAATGATGATATGGTAGTTTCATTACTTCAAGGAAAACAAATGACGTATGTAAACATTTTTTCGAGAGGTATTCAATAAATTCAAAAATATTACAACGAATCAACTAATACATCCACCAAAAATGAGAAGAATAAAAACAAGAATTTCGAAATATTGAGTTCATCGAATTGTGTGTCCAAGTGTCCATCAACAATGAACCAACAACATCACGATCGATCACAAACAAAAGGTATTCAAAAACACGATATTACGAAAGTAACAGCGTAAATAAATTGCGAAATGTGCTCATTTAGTCAAGTGTATTTCACTAAATTCACGCACACGTTTATACTTTCGCCAATTATACATTTTTTTTTTTTTCATTTTTATTTGCAGCTTGCAGCATCCATATACTCTATTACGTATATGGCCAGAAGCATATTGTTATTAAGGTTCGCTGATAGGTTAGTTATCTGTAGAGCAACTCACATTTCACTTAGAGTCGAAAATGTTTTTGTTTCTTGAGCCGATGTCTTATGCAAAAATCGAAATATTTATTTCCAATTTATTCAATAGTTTTACGAAAACAAAAATGATGTCGCGTAATACATTTACTATACACCTTTGGTACGGACAAAAAATTATGATGAGGGTTTTTCTATTTATAAATTAGGTTATCGATAAAACCACATAAACTATTAAATTCTTTCCGACCAATACACTTGCATTTTGTGATGTTTTGCTATTTTTATAACCGCATCATTTGTTCGTTCTCATAAAAAAGAATCTTGACCCTTAAAAGTGCACAGTTATTACCTCATTTTTAAAAGAAATAGTGGAATTTCCAAAAAAAAGTATTCACTAAATAAAGGTAGTAAAAACAAATAAAATCTGCTTTTATAAAGATTTTATCATAAAATAACTAGAGATCTAAATAAAAAACATTATACAAAAGAAAGAAAAAAACAACATCTAGTGTTATTGTATTTGTAATGTGCGTTCATAGGAATTCAAGTGCACAATTACATGTATACTCTGATCAATATTAAGAATTTTTTTTTGGGGAATTGCACATATTCTATGATTAATTGCTGCCACTCACACACACATTAATTTTTTTGTCAAAACACATGTTTTTCACAATTTTATTAATGTTGAGAAGTGCTTATTTTGCAATCAAATAGTTTATGCTGTCTGCTCATATATCAGCATACTGTGCTCTGCTGTGCTGTGAGTTCATTTTGAAGGTTACACATTGATTAGTAGAAGTGGCATGCTTTTTGAGCATTTGGTTGGCTTAAAACCTTTCGATCGACGTCCATTTGAAGAAAAAAACATGCAAGAAAGAAAAAATATTCGTCGTTAATGCGAGAGAAAGTTTCTTATTATTGAATGACACTTCTTTCAACGGTGATATTAATTCATATAAATTGTTCATCGTTGCGCTTATTATTTTTGAAATAAGATACAATTCCTCTTGAAACTTTTTTTATTTTTTAGTTCATAATCTAGACGGTCGAAAACATCGCTGTCGCTTAGTGTCACGGTACGTTATTTATTTATTATTATCCGTAAAATGAATGCTTGGAGATTCCAGTATACATCGACGATTGACAGCTCCAAACAGATGTAATTGCTTGATTCAAAAATTTACTTGAGAAGTACACGCGCCAATAAAATGAACAATAAATATATTGAAAAGATGTCAACAAGAAAACAAACTCTTTCTCTCTCTACTTGTAATTCATTCAGTATAAATAACGTCGTACACCAGCAGCACATTGTCGGCGTTTTGGTTGAACAGACTGTGGCAACAATGAACATTCTATAGCGTTCAGTTCCTTTTTTGTATTTTGCTCTTTTTTCCGTTGAAACATCGAGTAGAAATGTTCCTCACTGTTCATGCTGTTGCTAGTGATGTTTGTGAGACTGTCATTTAAATTTCAAAACGTGCGCATTTCAACGTCATGACCTATTAATGGATTTTGCATCACATAATCCATGCGCCAGCCGCTTTCAGTCTGGCCGTTCGATTAGAGAATGGAATTGCAAAAACAAAATTGTCAAAGCTGAATCTCATGAAATTAGAAGAGATAAAACGATAAAAGTAACAAATCAGTCTATTCAGACGAAACTTAAATTGCCAGATTGTATTTTAATATTATTCAAAGCATAACATCACTCACACAGTTTTACTTTTGAAACGCCGTGCATTAAGAGAGGGAAACAGGCGCGCAATGTGTACAGAGTGCACAACTAAATTACGAATGCATTCGACCTACGAATTCACATTCACCGAAAAGAAATTCAGCTTCTGAATAAGTGTTGCTAAAAAATACATTGATAGCACTGTGTTGAATATGAATATCTGAATGTGTGCTACACGATATAACCGACTATTTGACTTTAACTGACTGACGACGAGAAATAAGGCCCAAACACAACTTATATCGAAACCGAACAACATTATATTCGCTCACAACGAGTTGAACAGTTCGTGCAAAAATACATGAAACGTCTGCTACTGCTGCTATTATTGTTATTTTCCGGAAAGTAGTAGCACTATTTCGTTCAAGTTTAATTTGTCTTGTGCCTTTTGAATTTGAATTCTAATATTATTTACATATTTATCACTTGCTATTCCAATTGTGGCTATTGTCCAATTCGTGTAAATTTAGTATTGTTTTTATATCATGTCTGTCATTTCATGGAAAACAGTATTTTCTCATGCTCTTTAAATTGAAATAACATTTTTTGTTTATGGCAACAGGTAGTTGGAAAAAATTATAAGATATGTGTAATATGCTGAAATAGCAAAAGTGAAACTGTGATAAACTTAAAAAAAAAAAAAATAAACATAGCTTCATAACATTAGTGATAATTTTTTTAAACAAAACAAAAAACAAACTTTAAATAGATGTCAAACGACTAAAACAAAAACTTTGGACTCAATTGAAAAAAAAATTAATTTAAAAAATCAACATACGAAAGTAAATTGTGATACAACATCTCAGAGAATTTATATGATAGCATTGAACTTGCGTCAAAACATTGGCACCTGTATACCACATGTGCACATATTATTATAACCAACTCTGTTGACCAAATGAAACCGAGTGGTGCGTAACCCATTGAAAACAACAAGTCATCGAACTATTTTGCGCGATACTCGAGGAAAAGAAACGACATCAACATACTCACACTCATCATACTTCTTCCTTATTTTGTTTTTTTTTTCTCTTCTTCAACATTGCTAGTGTTGTTTATTTTTCCCAAAAAAACTTGTGTACAAAAATATGAATATGGATTCGAAGTTGTTGGAAAGCAAAAAGACAATTGAACAAATTTTACGATTTTACGAATGCGATGATAGCATACTAGTGAAAATGATCATTGAGATGGCAGGCAGTCAAGAGGGTGACAATTACATGTCCGTTGTAAAGCGTATCATTGTTGATTATTCTTTCAGAGGGACACAAGACAAAAACCAAAATCAAAATGGTATGCAATTGCACTCTCAATTTCACACTCAAATTTCGAAACTAAGTATCATAAAAAGAGCAATATATTGAATCGCTTGCGTGCCAAAGCAATAAAATAACCCAGCGACGTATACGGCATTTATGAAATGTTATCTGTATAAAATACTATAATAATTGTATACTAAAATATCTAGGTTAAAACCCGTGTGGTAAACGATCATCTTTGCCCAAAAAAAACCGTTGGCCAATTATCGTGTGCATTGTTGTCGGTCGTCTGCTATCATAATCTTCTTGTGCAAATCACGTAATCAGTTTATGTAAACGTAATTTTTTTGTCTCTGTATGTAACATACATGCTGTCAAAAAGACATTTTCAGTGTGATTCAAATATTAAAAAAAGTTCGTATTGATAAATTTCGAGTACTTACTACGAAAGTAAACTTTACATTGCGATCTTCTATATCAATTCAAAATTTCCCAAAAGCATACAAAGAAATATTGAAAATTATATGATATGGCATATGAAAAAAAAAAAAATGTATTTGCAACAGCATTGGCATTGAATAAATATATAAGGAATTATTGATTTTTTTTTCATCATTGCCATCGTTTGCTAGAGCGATGCATTTCATTGCAACTTTTATATAGAAACACTCATGCATGTTTGATTTGCACACATATATATTATATATATATATATATTACATTCACATATGACCGCATATATAGCAGCTAGCTGAAAACGAACTGCATATCATATGATATAAACCATAGCTTTGTACATAGACAGATGTGTTATATGGTTTCAATCGTTGTTACATGCCGACACTGAAATGCGCAGCGTTAACTGCTGCTGGTGTGTGTTTGTAATGTCAAGGTCATGAATGAATTTATCGAAATAATTCTTGTTTGTTTCCTTCCATTTTTCACGTGTCTTTCTCAAATACATCAACATAACAAGTATGAGAGATGAGATGATTGTTATTAATGCAGAATTACACGCTGTTGGAGTAAGAGAAAAAGAGAATATAATACAAATTCAAATTAAATTCAATTGGAGTTTGATTCAAGTAAAGACAGCCCGGCAACAATAAACACAACATTTTATTTATATTTGGCGTCACTATATATGCAGTGCAATAAGTTATATGCAACCTGGGTGAATGATGTAAACCGAGAATTATTATTAAATTGCTTTGAAATGACGAAAATTGATTTTATCTAGAACACGATACATATATATATATCTCGACAATAAATTCATAATAATTTTTTTTAAACATATGTTAAAAATCATTTTTTCTTCCTCATTCATTCTTTATAGATATTTATCAGCGGAGTTTAATAATTAAACGGCAAATTGAAAACATTGGTAAGTATTTAAAAAATAAAATTTTAAATATTACAAAAATTTAATTTGCAAGAGTTCCAAAATAAAAATTTAGCAAGAAGAAAATTATTCCGTGCTGATCGAGCATTTACCAATGAGATTGCAGCCTATACGAAAGTAATGCCACAGTTTCAACAGTTTGCCGATAGTATTGAATTGTCAATACCTTTTGTGAACTGTTTATTCGCTGGCACAGATGATTTTGGTGATTTAATTGTGCTCGATGATTTAAAACCGTTTGGTTTTAAAATGGCGAATCGTTTGAAGGGCCTCGACTACACACATTGTAAAATTGTGCTGCAGGTTACTATTTTTATTATTTTATATGACACAGAAAAAAAATATTTTTCCTTTTTTTAGTTCATATTAACCAATGTATTTAACATGAAAAGCATAAAATAAAAATAAACCACCAAATATTCACATTTTATAGGAATTGGGAGTTGTACATGGATTAAGTTTGGCTGCTAAAGTTTTACACTGTAATGAATTTGCTGGGGTTGTAGAAGATATAGGTGAATCAATTTACTGTGCAGAAGCAGCCGACTTTTTCACACAGAGCTTGGAGTGCTCACTAAAAGAAGCATTATTCAGTTTACGAAAATCAAGTCAAACATTTTCGGGTCTTGATTCAGCCATTTGTCAAATTGAAAAGCTAAAAGGCAAACTTTTCCGAAAAATGTATGAATGTGTTCGAGGTAATCCAGGTAGAGAATGAAACAATTTTTAAATGGGATATTTAACTTTTACAATAAATTTCCTCCATAATAATTTGATTGCATTTGATGATTATTCCAATCAGGTGGAATTCTTCGAGAAGACTTTTTTGTAGTAGCTCATGGAGATCTTTGGCTGAATAACATCATGTGGCATCATGACAATCGTAACAAATGTGATGGTGTAAAATTTATAGATTTGCAAACGCTTCGCTATACATCCCCAGTCATTGATATTCTCCATTTCTTGTATACAAGTACGGAGTACGCTGTACGAGCTCAATACATGGATCAACTGATCGATGATTATGTGGATTCACTATATGCCACATTGCAGAAGTTTGATGTTCATGATGAATATGTACCAAATATTCAAACATTAAATGAGATCATTCGAAGCGAACTTCGAGATAGATCAATGTATGGTTTGGGAATCTGTTTTTGGCTCTTACCAGCTGTTACATTTCATCCTGACAAAATCGTAGACTTGGATACAATCACATTAGATGATTTCAAGAGCGATAACCAGGAGAAAACAATGACACAAATGCAAACGCCAGAATACCATGCCCGCATGAGAGAAACGGTGATGGAATTCTATCGTAAAGGTATCCTAAATGATGTATCAGGATTATAGACTGTGATAGAATTTTATCGGCTTTACCAAAAGATTTTAAGTTTTTAAGCCATTTTTATTATTAATTCAGTTTTTTTCTTTTTACAAAAAATGCACACGTTAGTATTTATATTTATAATATGAAATATTACGATTAAAATAAGAAATGTTTGTGTACAGCTTAAATATATTTGTAAGAGTTTATAAGAATTTAAATTGAAAAAAAATTATAAGAACATGAAATTGTCTTTTAACTAATCTTTTATGTTGCAATTCAGTATCGTCTTGATCACAATCACGACAAATTTTCGTTTTTTTTTTTTGAAGTCCTTTCTCCGCGAAAAACCCTAGCAAATCGGAAAAAATTCTCTCGGAAATTGAAAGAATTCTTCTCAATTTTCTACATTGATGAGCTAAAAAAAAGGTCTTCACTTTTTAATAAAAAAAACCCTAGCAATCAGATTTGACTTGTACATAATCAATATTGATTGTACAAAATCAGATTTGACCTGTACATAATCAATATCGAGTGTACAAAATCCGATTTGACTTGTACATAATCAATATCGAGTGTACAAAATCAGATTTGACCTGTACATAATCAATATCGAGTGTACAAAATCAGATTTGACTTGTACATAATCAATATCGATTGTACAAAATCAGATTTGACTTGTACATAATAAATTGGCCATTCGCGGCGAATTCAAAAACTGCTATAAATAAAGAGTCTTACGGGAGTAAGACGAACTTTTCCGCACGGTGGTAGTTGCGTATTTTATTAAGAAAGTTCAAAATAATATTTGTTCGATTTTTCAAGCCTTTCAAGCGTCGTAAAGTTCGAAACCAAACAATATGTTTCAACTTTGGCAACGAAATATTCTTTAATTTAATAGCAGAAGTACCCGAGAAAAGATTTTTAACACTTTCATGATGAACCCATTTGTGCGGCATTTGAAAGTATTCTATTTTCAAACAAAACACTATAAAAAAAAATGTCTGACGTTAATTTTGCCATAAAAATTATTTTTGAAACACTTTTCATAACTAAAGTCACAAAAATTTTGGATTTTTGTATGGGAGCCATGTCTGTATGCTACCTTAATGGCATGAAACTTTGTACAGGTTATTTCTTTCACCAAAAAATAACATTCGGAGGGTTTGGAGAAATTTCAACCAAAATTAAGGGTACCTCCCATACAAAATATTCGTTTTTGAGCCAAAAATTGTAAATTTTGTATGGGAGTTACCCCTAATTTTGATTGAAATCTCTTCAAACTTTCAGAATGTTATTATTTTGTTTAAAAAATAGTCTGTGCAAAGTTTCGCGTCATTAAAGTAGCAAACAGGCATGGCTCCCATACGAAAATTCAATTTTTTTGTGATTTTTCCAAGGAAACTGTATCAAAAATTGATTGTATCTCAAAACTAACCTCGGATTCGGTTTTCTCGTGCCAAAAAACCCCCCATTACATATTTTTGAGTGTTTAAGTCTACATTAAGTATGACTTTTGGACGAAAATTGGACTCTTTTTCATAGGTATCACTCCAGGCATGAAATTTTTTTCCATCAACCAAAATCGCTCAAAATCTAATGATTTCTATTCCTCGGGACCCCCAATCATCCCGTGAAGTCAGATTTTAAATAACTTTTCTGGGGGGTGAGATAATCGATGGACAAATTTTGCGTACGGCGGACAACGTACGACGTACGACGTGGAACAGACCCACAACAACCATGCTCAAAACGGCCTGATTCGGGTTCTCTGACCTCAGAAACTTCCAGAAAACATGTTTTTGAGATGTCGTAAATTTTGACCCATTACAATACTTTCCCCTTTCACACTATGTGTGTGCGGAAAAGTAAAATTAGACTTTGAAATTTGATTACTCGATTGGAATTTTGCAAATCTAAATACAGATTTGAATTGTACATATTTTGTACATTTTTCTACAATATACTTCGTTATAATAATATGGATAGTTAAAAAGTTGGCCATTATCGGCGAATTCAAAAACTGCTATAAAAATTGGACTGGGTAAAATTTGAGTACTCGATAGAAATTTTGCAAATCTAAATACAGATTTGAATTGTACATATTTTGTACATTTTAACGACGTATACACTGGAGGTGTACGAGAGTTGAAAAAAAAATCTGTAAATCGAACTTTTTTGATTTTTGAACTTTTGGCTCCAGATGAAAATTTTTCAAATCTGATGGGTGATTTGAATTGTACATATTTTGTACATTTTAACGACGTATAACTTTGGTGTTGTACAAATTCGGGTAAACATTTTCCGGGTTTTGATATTTTCAATTTTTAAAAATCCAAATTCTGAAAAAATTTTGTTGGTACATAATCATAAAAATTGTTGTACATAATTGTACATAATTAGTACATTTTAGTAGTATATACGATTTTTCGAAAATTGATATCGACCGGAAATTGACTACCTATCCAGCAAATTCGAATAATTTCTGCACACCACTGGCTAACACTGAGTCGACTCGAACTTGTTTTCGGCGAACATTAGAGAAGAAATGTATCGTATTTGTAACAACTCTACATCGCACCGATAGAGTAGATGGGAACGACAAAGCTGAAATCAAAATATTCTACAACGATTTCAAAAGCGGCGTTGATGTGCTAGATGCATTGTATCACACAGTATTGTTAAGCTAAAAAAAAACGGTCGCCGATGGCATATTTCATGAATTTAGTGAACGTTGCTTGTTTGTGAGGCGTATGGCCAACAACATGATTGTGAAGAAAGAACGGAAATAGTTTCTTAAGCGTGTATACATTGAACATATTGTTCGACACAGTACACAAGGCCATACGACTGGCCAACGACAATTGGCGTTTTTCTTGGAAATGACACGACTGACAGCCAGGAGCTACTAAAAAGAACATAAGATTTCGGTATTACGTTTATCGATGCGCGACTGAATGAAAACTTTTCAGAAAAGTTAAACAAAGAATTGCAAAGTATGCCGAAAAAATATTTCCAAGCAGCGTGCTTACGCAATCATCAAATGCAAAAAGTGTCACAAGGAGCCCGTCATATAATCTTTTTCTAATTTTTCCATATTTTCAATAGATCATTAGAAATTAACATAAAATTGTGATGTTGTATTATTAGAAAAATAAAGAATAAGCTATTGTATAACCATAAAACGATATATTTGGTTTATTCAATGCCATTTTATTTCTCGAGGGTCCCAGAAGACACCATCTGTGCGGTTAAGGGTTAATAAAGTGGCTCTCGGAAACAATTGTGAAAAATCATTTTTTCTGACAGAATCGAACTGCGGAAGTGCGTATTTCATAAAGACGGATGTGTTTCCGTTACAGCAATAAGGTTTACTACATTTTAAATGTCGTACTCTGAAATGGAAAATTCATGCGAAACAAATTTGTCTTCAGTTGAAAGTAAACTAATCCTTTTTATTCTAAAACAATGAGTTAAGCGTAAGTTATTTTTGAAAATAATTATGCCAATATTTTATAATATTTGATAACATAAGCTTAGCTTATTTATAAACTGAACGATTCGCCGCATCCACACGTTCCTTTGATGTTAGGATTGTTAAAAACAAACTCTGCTGATAATTTATTTTCTACGAAATCCATTTCAGTTCCGAGAAGGGATAGTTGAGCCTTTTTGTCGATCAATATTCTCACACCATCTTGTACAACCTCTTCGTCAAGTTTGTCTGCGAAATTTACACATTGTTACGTAATGGAAAACTTGAAATGCTTATAAAATGAAAAAAAAAAAAAATAATAATATTAATAATAATTTGACTAACTACCTTTTGCTTTTGCATAATCTAGTGTGTATGAAAGTCCATTGCAACCTCTTTGCTTTACGCCAACCTTAAGAGCAACCTAGAATAAAGATCCTATTTTAGACAAAATATTGGCTACTTGTACATTTAGTTCCCGTATTATCTATATTATCATCTGTGAAAAAATTGAGTTGAGCAACTTAACAACAGGTAAAGATCATCTTACAATATCAGGCTTATCACTTAAAAGCTGTTTTACACGATTCACAGCGGCTGGAGTCTATTATTGAAAGGTAACAAAAAATTGAAGGATGAAAATCGATGTGTGAATGAGCTTAGTAAGTTAAATTAAATTTCAATTACCAGTGTTAATGCAGCACGTGAAGCAGTTAATTTTCTTCCTGCAGCTTTCACAGCTGCTGTTGCCACCACTTTTGCTGTCGACATTTTAGGTAAATTTCTAAATATATTACGACTAATTTTCTTTTGAGCCTCGATTTTTTAAACAATAATATATTTTTTCATTTGACACATAGCTGACTACGAAATTGCATTGTGTGACAGGTCTACGTACTACGTTAACATTTTGACAGTTCGAATGAAGTGACAGCAATAAATCTAAAAGCACATTTTTTATAGATACGTCTAATACTCTCTTTTTGAACAGAACTGTGTAATTTTCAATAATTTTCCAAAAAAAAAGATACAAAATGAAGGTAAAAGTTATCAGTAGAAATCCGGATGAGTATATGCGGGAAACTAAACATGATATTCATCGTCTAAAACGCAATTATGATCAATCTCTGCATCCAATGGAAGGACCACGTAAGTAGACGTTTTTAAAAAAAATAATAATAATATATATAATATATATATATATATTCAAAAAATTTAGGTGAATATGTACGAGCTATGAATGCAACTAAATTAGATCGAGTTTTTGCTAAACCATTTATTGGAGATTTGGCTGGACATCGTGAGGGGATCACATGTTTTGCCAAAGACCCAACGAGCTTGTCATCGCTTACTAGCGGTGCATATGATGGTGAGATTCGTGAATGGAATTTAATCACTAGAAAATGTCGTCGAGCATTTGTAGCGCACGAAGGTTATGTACGTGGAATTTGTTATATTCCAAATCGTACTCTGAGTGACAAACAGTTTCTCTCATGCGGCGATGACAAAGTGATAAAATTATGGAAAAATGCCTCACAAAGCGAATTAGATGCAGAAATTGAAGAACCAATCACTACATTATTGAGCCGAACAACTTTGACTGATATTAGCCATCATCAAAAAGAGAATACGTTTGCAACGTCAGGTGAAGTTTGCTCGATATGGGAGCATTCACGAAATGAACCAATTAAAACATTCAAATGGGGCGTTGATACTATGCACGCAATCGCTTTTAATCCAATTGAAACATCTTTGTTGGCCACATGTGCCAGTGATAGATCAATCATTTTTTATGACATGAGAGAAGCAAAACCATTGCGAAAAATTGTTATGACTTTGCGCGCAAATCGTTTGAAATGGAATCCAATGGCTGCATTTAATTTTACTGTAGCAAATGAAGATTATAATTTATACACGTTTGATACGAGACGCCTTCAAAATCCAATAAAAATTCACAAGGATCATGTGAATGCCGTTACTGATGTTGACTATTCACCGACCGGCAAGGAAATTGTTTCAGCCAGCTACGATCGTACAATTCGAATCTATAATATTGAACAAGCCCATTCTAGAGAAATTTATCACACAAAACGCATGCAACATGTGACATGCATTGGTAAGCATTTAATTTGCAAAAGTTCAAGAATAAATTAATTTAAAGTTGCAAAAACTTTATTATATTGCTACCACTTTTCCAAACAAATAATATTTTGAATTAATTTCAGGATGGTCACTAGACAACAAATACATTTACAGTGGTTCGGATGAAATGAATATTCGTTTATGGAAAGCAAATGCATCTGAAAAATTGGGAGCCCTTCGACCACGTGAACGTGCCAAATTGGAATATAATGAAGCATTGAAAGAGAAATTTTCTGCCCATCCACAGGTTAAAAGAATTGCAAAACATCGACATGTTCCAAAAGGTGTACTCAATGCTACTAAAAAGCATCGCATTATGCGCGACAAAGAAATCCGTAAAGAGCATAATCGACGTGTTCATTCCACTCCTGGTACAGTACCATTTGTATCAGAGAAATCGAAACACGTTCTTAAAGAGGAGAAATAGATGCACGATGATAGATTATGTATTAAGTATATAGTTCATAGTATTTTTATTATTTGAAATGACATTTATGTTTATTACAGATATTTTTGATAAAAAGTTAAGCCGTTTTATTAAATTAAATCTTATATTTGTTATTTCCAAAATAATGCCTTTACGTCTACATTTCATTGTTGTATTCATTTTTGCAGGGTTCAAACAGATAATGTCACAAAATACTACGAAGTACTACGTACTTTTACGTAGGTATGTGTTTGTATGAAACTTCAAATCGTAATATATATTATAAATGTTTCAGACTTTAATCACATGGGCTCCGATTTGTCAGTACATACGAATATATAGTGTGTACGAATAGATGACAGAGATGGACTGACACAAAAACATTGTATGACATAAACATCGACTAAAAATATATCATAAAATAAAACAAACACGCACAAGTATCGTGTAAAAAATCTTGCTGATTTTTCTGTTTGTGCTGGGAGGAGAGCACTGCACTAATAGTCATTAATGTTTTGCTCGTTGTCGATGTGTTTTTGTTTTGTGTTGTTGATTCTTTATTATGAACAGTTAGAAAAATATTTTTGGTTGCTGCTCTGTTGTTCGTCGTATCCATCCTGAATATGTGTGTTCGTGTTTTTGAGTTGTGAAAAGAACAAAGATTGTATATGTTCTTTATATTTCAGTTGAATTAGTGAATGCTGTGATGCATTTAATACAATATGCATATCATTTAACTGCCTGCTGTTCCCTGTGGTAGCATTTTTTTCTCCGAATATTGAACCAGGTTCATAATTAAATTCATGAATTGTGCTATATACCAATAGTGACGAAGCAAATGAATAGACAAAATAATACGTTTTTAAACTAAGTGAATCAAATTCAATTGACTGGCGACTATATGCAATATTGCAGATGAAAAAAGACAGCAATGTTTTCAAGGTGATTTTAATCAAAATCAATTGAGAACACTTTGCTTAGAATTTTACAGAGTATGAGTTTCGAGTGTCGCAGTATATATTTTTCTGGAAAAGAATCAAGAGCATTCAGAATTGGCGCGAATAATAATGATAAAAAATTCAATTGAATGGTTTTGAATTACATCGACAGAAAAGATCAAAAAGTTAAACTGATAATTGGACACAATCTTCTGCGTCAATTTTTTGTTTCATTGGCATAACGGAATACATTTAATTTCTTTGTGTTCAATCGACTATAGACTGCTTAAAAGCTTGTTTTAATAGAAGCTAGAAGAATGGACTACGAAAACCATGATATCTGTGAAAAGATCATTGACGGGATTGATGCGATTTTCAACAAAGATCCGAATTTGTAAGTTGATTTTTTTTTCACGAGTACATTATATATTTCTCTATTTTTTTCATGCATTTTTTTTTTATTTGTCGTTCAGGTCAACCTTTGAAATAATCAGTGTCGACGAAAGTCAAACAAAAAATAAAACACCAGTCATTCATGTGGAAAATCACTTAGGTTTGGAATCTTGGTGTTGTCCCATTGTTTATCGGCATGCACATCAGATAATTTTGGCAGCGGCTAAAAAATATCCACACCATTCGATGATATCACACGAAGTGAATGGAAGTGATCATACTCCGCATCCTTTCAATCATACATTGGTGAAGTATTTGAATTGTGCTCTATTAATAAATCCAGATGTGACTACTTTTTGGAATGCACGACGACGATTATTGCAAAAAGATCGTTTGGATATTGGACGTGAATTTAAATTTTCGGCCATCGTGTTAAGTAAAAAACCAAAATCGAACGATGCATTTTGTTATCGCCGTTGGTTGTACTCATTTCAAAGTCACGAATCGATTGACTGGACACGGGAATTGAGTCTATGCGAACGTTGTGCATCAAAGAGTCTCAGCAATTATCAAGCATGGTCACACAGACAATGGGTACTTTTCATATTATTTTCCATTCTTTTCAATTTCTCATTGATTAACTTTCATTTTCATTAAATTATTTCTATTTTTTTCTTTTGTGATTCTCTCTTAGGTACTTCAAAAATCACCATTTTTACTGCAATATGAACTACAGACATCGGAACGCTTCATCAGAAAGCACATAGGTGATTACTCAGTTTACTCTCACCGACAATTTGTTTTGTACAAAATGGACGAACTGAAATATTTTGAGCTTGAATCAAGCAATGAATTCAATATCACACAATATGCTGCACTTATTAATTATCTCGCATCGATCGGTTCATCGGACGCCAACACGATAAGAAATCAAATGTCAACTTCAAACATAGACTACAAGCACACGCCTGCATGGAAAATTCTCATCAGAATAATCACACCCGAACGTGATTGTAACGATAAAATCCGAATCAAATCGTTCCTCTATTGCATGAATGTGGCGGCTTACGATCTAAAATTTATTAATGAATTAAAAGAAATGTTTGGCTATAGAGAAGCTTTTGAGTGCCATAGGCGAGCTGTTAATCGATTTTTAGCCAGTAAATGCATTGAGTGGTCAGTTGCATCGTTCATTATGGATGCTGTGTGTACAGAAAATATTAGAAAATAATAGTTAAATGATTATTGTAAAGCAATTGAGGTAAAAATATTATACCACATAATTTGTTATATGACAAGTGCTTCTCAAGCCCTGCTTTGTAATGATAGTAGATTGGCATTCAATTGTTACCTGTAGATAACAGATTAAAATATATATTTACCAAGTTAATCCAAATCTTATCAAATATATTTCACTTCAATAGTTTTTGTTGCGTTTAAGAATTAAAATCAATAAAAATCTTCAAAATTAACACTTTATTAACATTTATTTATACTATGTAAAAAACTGCTTTTCATAAAACTTATATTAGCTTCATTTCAAAGTTGCACCTGATTCGGTTTTGTGACGTCGTTTATGTGAGTTTAATGCACAAGCAGAATGAAATGATTTTGAGCAAGGTTCACATCGATATGGTTTTTCTGAAATATATGAAAAATTTAGATAATACTAGAAACTTTGGCAATATAGTCAACAATTACCTTCCGTGTGTATTCCTCTTATATGTGTATTCAAATTTGATTTTTGCGTAAAACTTAGTGGGCAAAATGAACACTTATGTGGTTTATAATTGGAATGCACTCGCATATGAAGTACAATATTTTTCATTCGTATTTGCTTGCCACACATCGAACATAATATTGTTTTATTTACATCTTCATTCGAGCTCTCGTTTGGATTTGAATGTATTTTCATGTGCCTTTTGTATGCAGCAGTTGAAAAGAAAGCTTCGTCGCATTCTTCTACAGAACATTGATAGGGTTTTTTATATCCTGGATGAAGATTTAGATGCTCTTCAAGGTGATCTTTGCGTATGAATGAAGTGTAACAAATAGTGCAGTTGTGTTTTTTCCATCCAGTATATGCATGTGTTCGTAGGTGCGATGTTATGCATCCGGTTGCAACAACACGGCTACATATTTTGCATAAGCGGTCATTTGTAATGTGAACTTTCATATGGTCATCTAAATCTATAATTGAATTGAAATTGCGCTCGCACGTTTTACATGAATATTCATTGTCAATTGATTTATGTTGGTCATCAGTGATATTTGTGTTTGGTTCGACATTATGCACTTGACGAATGTGTGCATTTCGGTGGCCGTTCTGAGTAAATGTTCTATCACACATTGAACATTGAAGTCGAGATTGAATTGAATGGCTACGTAAATGTGCCTAGGGTTAATCACAAAGAAAAGAATGGAAATAATGGGAATTAATCAATATGTAATGGAACGTAATGGAAGTAATGGAAACATATAATGAAAATCAAATATGCATAGTTTAAGAGCAAAATAATCGTCACACATTTGCAACAACATTGCTTTAATTTGAGATTTGGTAGTAGTGTTGAGAATCGCGTTCTGCTGTGGAAGAAAAACAAAAACAAAATACTTACTATAGAATAGCACTTGGTGCCAAGGCCACTACCTATTTCAATTTTAAAAAAAAGAATGGAATGAAAAAAAATATCACCATTAATATATCAATCGGTCTACAATGAATGGAACCAAACGACACTTACTCACACACGTAAATTACTCTTAGACGGAGTAAACTACGGGAGACGGCCGAGGAGGATATTCATTTAATGAGCGGCAGCATTAGCCGCCCGTTGTCGTAAATAGGCAGCACTCCGATTGAAATCACCATTGATTGGAATATCTTGTATCATACACAATGATTTGTATATCATGTTGCGTGATGCATTCAGATCACGGTCAAAAACAATAGTTTGCTTGCGTCCATTGTATTGTTGATTCGCGATAGAATGTCCATAATGCTTGAGATTCGGTTCCAATTCAAGGCGATGTTTTGATCGGAATGTATGATGAATTTTGCCTATCCACTCATTTGGTGGTGGGAGAACATGGTTAAGGGCCGGTTCGCAGTTGTTGCAAACTAAGAAACTGAACGATACGATAAAATTAACATTCATTCATTTCGTACGACACATTTACTGAATAAAATAAAAATGCAATACAAAAAGCAATAAACTTACCGATCCTTTGGATTCATATTCTCCGGTCTTTCGCGGTGCAATGGTTGGTCTAAGATATCATGATCACGACTACAGAGCATCGATGTTCCTGGCTCATGAACTGCCATTATGCGACAATATCGATCAATGGTATGTGTTATGAAGGCCTGTGGTGTTCTGCAGTGTCCCTTTATCGGCGAATTTGCACCGATTTTTGCGTCACCCAATGCATACACGATGGTCTGTTGTGCTTTTGGAATTTCTTTTTCGAGTAGAGTCATATCACGGGCCACTTGATGTGCGGCAACTTGACGTCTGATATGCTTGTCCAGCTCTAGTCGGGCCACACGCCGTTGGTAATGCACTTGACGTGATGCCATAAAGGAATCCAAATTGTATTCCAAATATAGCTGGTGATTTGCGCTTTTGCTCGATGGTTGTTCGCCATAAAGTGCGTGTAAATCATTCCGCTTTTGCTGCAATTCATCTTCCAAAACGCCCGTGTATCGTCTCAATCTGTGCTTGCGATTACGTGCACCCGATTTGGCATACCACTGTTTCGCTGTCAATTTATAGCTCCATTCGAGTGTACTCTTCAGATCACGGCTTGTTGTCGATCGTGATACTTTGGCGCCCGGATCATCTCCAATGATCTTTGTGATTTGACCAGCTCGAAACGCAGCTTTAATGTCTTCCGGACATTTTGGTGGTTCTTTCTTCTCGTACTGTTTCTTGCCCTTTTTCTTCTTATTATTTTTCTTACTCGTTTTGGTCGGTGCACTCGTCGCGTCACGCTTTCGACGAATCATTCTCAGGCATGCTGTCACACCGTCGGTCGTAAAATAGTTGCCGAAAATTTGTCCGTTACGATTTATTTTCCGCAAATTTACATACCGATTCCAAAACGTATCATAATCATTGTTATCCCAATTTGGTTTGTCACTTCTTCTTACTTTATCTTCTCTGCGGGCATACAATAAATTTGTCATGTCGATGAAACCTTCCGTATCGAATTGAACATGTTTGCGTTTGTTCTTCGATTGCGGGATGGCACGAAACGACCGCCACTGCTCATTTGGATTGGCCACATTGTGCTGTTGAATCCAACGCTGTAAATGGATCAGCTCGTGCACGTGTTTATAGTACTTGGTATCGTCTGTTGTAGTCCACAACCAGCCACGTGGTATGAGATGGTCGTCTTGGAACACAACATTTTCAGGATCATTTTCGTACAGAGCGATACGGTCGAGTGGCAACAATGGATGCAGCTCATCGTAGTATTCGGTTAAATGCGCGCGAGTGCCGTCATACAGCTCGACTTCCGAATCTTCGTATTGCAAATAATCCATCAACACATCAATCTCCTGTTCCATAATGTTTTTACGCTTGAAATAATTGCGAATGTGATCGTTGCCATGCATATTTGTGTTATTTCGCATGTTTGTGGCGGACTGTTGGTAAGCAAAGCTAATCGGGTGAGTTAAGTTGTTAATGTGTGGCTGAACTGGACTGTTCTTATCCCTTAGATATTGTGCAAACACTGGATTTAATGGACAATTGACGTTAGCTTGGCAATGTTTTAGGGCGAAAAAATATTTGTGTGCATCGAAAGGTGCTAAAAATTCTGCACGGATTGCTGCATCGTTGTTGCTATCGACCAAACGATTCAATTCGTTGTGCACATAGTATGCCGATAATCGCGTCAAGTCGGACATCTCAATCACAGCATTATCAATGATTGCCATTAATCGGCGTTTCATATCACTTTCTCTATTGTTGGCGTTGTCAGCATTCGCTGCATCCATTTGATCTTTGTTTCGTTTACCACCAATACGAGTTGGATCATTCGGACCGTTTCTCAAAAATGACCGCAGAGACATTTTGATCGTGAATGTCTCTTGGTTCGGATCCGATTGTTCACCTTTGCGGCGACACACTCGTTCATTACGGAGCGGTTGTAATGGTGCTCCAGCCGGTGCAGCCGATGTCGATGGAATGGCCGGACTTTGAACTAACGAACGAGCGACAGACGGTACAGTTTGTACACGTTTTGAACGGCGTGCCGGTGTTTGTTGTGTGAAACGTGACGATGACGGCCGTGGCGCAGAGGTCAAACCACGTGAAGTAGATGGTTCGTCTCGCATGGCTGGTCTCAAAACTGGCCGACTTGGCGGTGGTTCAGATACTAAAGGACGAGCGATAGACGGTACAGTTTGCACACGTTTTGAACGGCGTGCTGGTGTTTGTT